GAAAATGGGTCAGGTTAAATTGACCTAGGCCACTGCAATCTTCCACACTTAGGAAATTTTGTTCCCGAATTGAAGAAAGAACAAAAAACAAAAAGGCTACCAACCTATAAAAGAAAATACCACACCAACCCAAGCTTAGATCTATGCCGAGATACGTTCCCAGATCCCGTTATAACATTTAGGCCCTAAAGACCTCCGAACAATAAGAACACTAAGAAGAGACAAATGTCTCGTTGACCCCAACACCCATTGGGATCTATGAGACAAGAAACAACCACTGTGACAACAATAAGAAAACCATCATCAATACCCAATCACCACCGAGTGCTCAACACTCGGACACAAAAATAAGAAAACCACTTGCACACAAGGCTCTTGGTCTACTCTCGTAAAATGAGAATGCAAAATAAAACATGGTTAAACAAACAATGTTACAACATATTAACTCCCGACAATTCTAAACCCCTTCCAAAATAAACATATAACATGTAACTAGCAACTCAGGCTAGATCACAATATAACTCCACAATAAAAGACAAAATACAACCCATTCAAGTTTAAGAGAATTTCTTTTTTCTCCATTTTCCTTAAAACACTTTTCTTTCTCAAAAGGTGCCTAACTTCGCACCACCCATAACAAAAATACATTTTCGATCTGTATATCACAATACCAACTAGAAAATACATTGCTAAACCAAAGGCGAATACATCGCTAAACAACAACAAATACATTACTAAACGGTTTGAAAATATCATTTTTAAAACCAAAATTGTAACAAATAAAATGGATAAACCTCAAAGGCTAGTGTTCATAATAATAACTATACAAGTCACTATGCCATTTTACCAGGATTATCTCGATGGAATCGGCACCTACCACGCGGGTTTCCGATCTTACACCAAGGACACATAGGCCAACTTAATTCTACTTTAACACCTCTTACAACTTTACCACTTTATTTACCCTTTTCAATAGCACAATATGTGTTCCAAAATAACAGTTTTTCAGCAATACGATATGTTTTCAAAACGTAATATGAAAATTATCAAAACAACTTTTCCAAAACTTACAATTTTGAGTTCCAAATCCATGACATGCATCATGATATGTATGATTTCAGAACTATTCCAATTCACCTAGTCTACATGCAATTTCTAACACATGACAATGGTATTCTCCACCGATAGCCAAAACAGTTATCTCTAATATAATAATTAAAAAATAACAATACAGATATATATATATATATATGATCTAACAATCTCAAAATCACATAACCAAGACTCGTGTGGTTTTTCCAACAAATCCAAGATTTTCAAAAGAGTATTCAATAATCGATATTTTAAAATCCCACAATCATTTTCTTTTCAACTAAATCCTTTTCCAAAAATCCAACCAACTTCCAAAAACAATATCTTTTAGAGTTTTTCACAAATCAGGGCTTTTTTAATTTTAGAAATCCATATACAATTTTATATATAGAAAATAGATTTAGTAGCAAAATTATAACTCAACAACCCCATTTGGAACAAACCCTCAACTCACAAAACAAATTTCCAAAATCAACCCAACAACAACAAAATCTACAAATGAAAATATACCACAAATACACTACCAAACTCACATCGAGTTTAAGAAATAGACCATAACTCTTGAAGGGAAAAGGAGATAGGCCGGAAAAATCACCAGCGACGAAAAGAGGATCCGCTCAAATCAAATGGAAGCACTTGCCAACCTCTACATTTTGGTATATGGAACTAAGGGTCGCAAGTGGATAGAAATAGATGAAACCCAAGCTTGAAAAACTTTGTGGGTCAAAAATAGCGAAAGGGAGAGAGATGAGAGAGAAAAGATCCAAAAAAGTGAGGTTTTCACTGCGGCCGCGGGCCTATAGTCAAACAGATCACGGGAGTGACCATGCCCCTCGTGGGCTCGAGTAAGCCATCCGTAGCCTACATTGTGGCCCCCATTGCGGGCAACACACTCCCTCCAACCAACAGACCTGAGAACCTTTAGGCTACGACCTCCCCTTAGCCTCATTGCGGTGCGACCGCTCAAGAACAAAATTTCTGGGCTACTGTCTAGCAGCCAACCCGAAGCACGACAAAGGTCAAATCTATCTAGAAATGTCCTTGTCACTTAGGACAACCTCGTGTTCTAACCAAAAATGAAAATGGGTCAGGTTAAATTGACCTAGGCCACTGCAATCTTCCACACTTAGGAAATTTTGTTCCCGAATTGAAGAAAGAACAAAAAACAAAAAGGCTACCAACCTATAAAAGAAAATACCACACCAACCCAAGCTTAGATCTATGCCGAGATACGTTCCCAGATCCCGTTATAACATTTAGGCCCTAAAGACCTCCGAACAATAAGAACACTAAGAAGAGACAAATGTCTCGTTGACCCCAACACCCATTGGGATCTATGAGACAAGAAACAACCACTGTGACAACAATAAGAAAACCATCATCAATACCCAATCACCACCGAGTGCTCAACACTCGGACACAAAAATAAGAAAACCACTTGCACACAAGGCTCTTGGTCTACTCTCGTAAAATGAGAATGCAAAATAAAACATGGTTAAACAAACAATGTTACAACATATTAACTCCCGACAATTCTAAACCCCTTCCAAAATAAACATATAACATGTAACTAGCAACTCAGGCTAGATCACAATATAACTCCACAATAAAAGACAAAATACAACCCATTCAAGTTTAAGAGAATTTCTTTTTTCTCCATTTTCCTTAAAACACTTTCCTTCCTCAAAAGGTGCTCAACTTCACACCGCCTATAACCAAAATACATTTTTGATCCTTTACTATGAAACTCCACACTTTCCAAAACCATATTCCAAAACAACAAGTGTTATTCATAACACAAAACTAATTCCATTTTCGTGATTTGTTAGATTGAGCTTTTATTAAGTTAAAAACTTACATTTTTTTTTTTGGAGCTAAAACAATCTCAGTTCAATAAGACCATTCAAGGCCACAACACCAAAAGAAATTTGTGGTTTCGTCTTTCCCAAAATCATTCTCAACACTTCCTCAGTGAACCTCAACAGTCACCCAACAACACTCATCACACCGACGGTGATGTCATAACACCCACACAATAGTTCCATTATACAATCCCTAGATATTAGCATGGTGTTAACCACATACAAATTATAAGAAAAAAGAAAACAAAATCACCAATCACAAAATGGAGGAAAAGCACTTATTCCAAAACCAAAGTTTCCACTTGTAACATCCAAACCAGTTACCACAAACTCAAACCAACTTCTCACTTGACTATATGAGACTCAACGCTTTACAAGTCCACACTACGGCACTACTCCACCTTAGACACTTATACTCAACGCCAAGCTTGACTATATGTCAACCAACCCGGATATTAACCAACCGACTAACCACACAACAATCCTGCACTTGACACTAAACACCAACATATTGTCTATCTTCACCAACTCTGATATGGAGTTCCACACACGCTCTCACATTCCCAGTGAATCACACTAGATCCCTCAAAGTTAAACCACACTATTCTTACTCCCAAATTAATCCACCATGCATAAGCCTACATGACAAACACATCCGTACATTATATATGCGTCTGAGCTGGACTCCTAAAGGCAGAAATACATAACTCACCCTCCTCAAATCAACACATACATATACCCGTGGCAACCAAACACCTCACACTACACCCACAAGGACCGATGTGGTCAATAACATCTGCTCTACACAACTTTACCATATCACCCGGAGTTCTACTTACAAACCGAACTGCAACAACAATCATACCAACACCAAGCTACATAAGGCTAACAAACAACAAACACGCACGCCAAAGTAACTCAGCGCTATCAAACATTATACCATTCAACAATACATTAAACATACTATTGTCACACCGAGGCAACCTCCTAGGATAGTCCTGTGACCAATCCTCTCTTTACAAATACTTTAATTCAATTTAAGACTCATAAACCAATACATACTTTATTCAGGGAATAGAAACAGTTGCATAACAAAACGCTAAGATTACAATTTTTGATAGTACTTTCCAACATAAACAGGTTCCAAGATTTAATTACATTACCACACAGTTGGGTTCCGAGAACACACATACATATATATACATATGCAATATTTGTAATTACACTTCCTTATCTACCACATCGTAGTATTATCATACCAAAACAACAATAGATCACACCACTCCCTCCCAACATTACCGTCCTTACTAGGATCAACGAACTGGTTCTGTCTTCTCTCAGGGCAATAGCACTTAACATGGCCCGTTTGATTGCACTTAAAACAAACAAGCAGTCTCCTATCTTGTAACTGGATTGACTGGTGGAGTTGTTCTTGGTTTGAATCTAATGAAAGGCTGTACAACTGCTGGGATCTCGAAGGACTAGCGACTCCTACCGACTAAGAGCAAAGTCCCTTCACATGCCCTAATTGTCCACACTGATAATAGGTGGACACCTGACCACTACCTCGAGACTGGTTCTGAGGATGAGCCGATTGTTGTTGTAGTCGGCTTCCTTTCCTTTGAGGGCAACCTAAAGCCTTGTGACCCTGCTGGCCACATCGAAAACAAATCATCTTATTCTGACTGGTACCTCCTAAACTCGTCCCTGTTGCCAAACTCTGAGGCTTGGTCTACTGTGATTGCAAAAGCATTCTAGTGCTAGCTTTCCACTTCTTAGATATTCCTGAGTCACCCTGTGGCTCGTTTTCCCTTTATCTTTTGCCCTTATGTTTCTTTCCCCTTTCCAAGGTGATTTCTACATGTGCGGCTGCTTCTACGAGTCTATCATAATTTCTAATCATACTACCAACCACTTTCATCTTAATTTCCCACCAAAGTCTCTTCTGAAATTCCAAACAACGGCGCTCCTCGGAGCCACTAACTCTGGTGCAAACCTAGATAAGCTAGTAAAATCTGCCTCAAACTCTGCTATTATTGTGTCGTGTTATTCGAGCTCTTCAAGCTGTCTTCTCAAACGCTCTCTAGCTGTGGATGGAAGGTACTTCTTTTGGTAGGCATGAGTGAAGGCCTCCCATGTGTGCACTATATGGTCTTTGGCATATCTCCACCATTGACCAGTATCCCCTTTCAATTGAAAAGCCCTCAACGTAACCTGAAGTTCATCATCCACTATGTGAAACACTTCAAACGTCTTCACTATTTGTTCAAGCCACCTATCCGCTAGAAGTGGATTAGCACTGCCATAAAACTCCATAGGGTTAGATTTAAAGAACTCATTAGCCATGGAAGAGGATGTAGTCTCTCCTACGGCGGCTCGTGCCGTTTCTTTAGCCCTCAAAATATTCATAGATTCCTGAAGTACACTTGCCAACTCCCTAGCCAACAAACCCATAACACCCTACACCTCTTGTTCAGCCATACTAGCTTGGCCTACCCCCCTCTCCTCGAGAAAAGACACCCCGACCACCACGACGAGGTCTGCCACGGCTTCCACCATTACGTCCAGACATCCTAAATAAGAATAAAAATAAACTTAGCTCACAATTCAACCCAAACAAAACTCAACACTCTGTCTACACCTGTCTATGCACATAGAAATTTTCACAATAGCATACCACATAAACACATAGTCACATAAAACACATACGAAATATCCTCCAAAAATGTCAATTTGCCCCACCAATGTTCAAAGAATTCAAGTTAGAATGGCATTGATCAGGTGCCTCCTAACAAGACTTCTAAGAAATTCATGAGCACAAACTTCATCTTAAGAGTTTAATCCCATACTCACATAGTCACGTTGGCACACACCAATCAGAGCAACACTTAAACGTCCCATATCTACCTTGTAACCCATTGTGAGAAATGTCACTTCCCACGAGCCCAAAGTATTCAAACCTGGCTCACTCTGATACCAAGTTGTAACGCCCCGATATTTATACCACGATATGCTACCAACCCAATATATGAACAATAAGCAAAGTTATACAATTCAATAACTGAAATCTATCACGTTCTCATAAATTTCTTGTCAAGCTCAAAATAATAAAATTACAATACATGGTAATATAAAAATATCCATCTAAATTGCCACAAGGGCTTACATCTTTCAAGACTAAGAGCCTTGGTTCAACAAATACAATTCCTAACTAGACAAACAAGCTCAAAGGCTGTAGGCGAACAACATTAAAGAAGCTTCGGCGTTCCACATTGAATTCCATTCGCTTTTCGACACTATCATAATACACCTTTAGCACTTGGATTTTTAGGATATGTAGCCCATAAAAAGGGAGTGAGCTTTGACGCTCAGTAGGAAATAAACTTAACAACAAATAAAGTATGCTCAAAGTGATTATGTTTATGCAATGTCATGCCATGCATACAACTTAACTTTATTAGAAAAACCAATTTGTAAAATGCTAAATTCGTATTCCAAGTTTGACCCAATTTGTTAACCATTGATTTAACCATGAACCTTCATTTTGTAACAAACTCCACGTTACATGTCACAAACACTCCCCATATTTACTGACCACCCAAGCACAGTAAGACAAGTGGACACCTCTTACTTTTAGAAAACCTCCACATTCACCGGCCACCAAGCATGGAGGGACAATTGGGTACGCATCAATCATTGTAACTTTTCCCTCACATTTACCGACCTACAAGCGCGGAAGGATAATTGGGCACCTTTACCACCATACCGATAACAACCCCACATTTTTCGGCCTACAAGCACGAAAGGGCAATTGGGCACCTCAACACACAACACATTTCAAAATAACCCATTTTTAATTAACTCTACCCACTTGGTCCCAAGGCCATGAAGATACAATGCAATGCAATTGGTTTACCAATATCATAGTTTGCCTATGGTTCAAATCATTATTACAAGAATAATTAACATGAAACATTAGCAAGGCAATCAACAATTTCCATAATCATCCAATATAGCAACATCAATCCGAAATTCTCCATCATTCTAACATCATGTGAATATCAACTCAAAACAACTCCAATTCCACTTTTAAACATTATTTAGGTAAGTTATCTCATTCCCATTAAACTCCCAAGCTAAGGTACCAAAAAGATTTAATCCACAACTTCTATCCCCACACTAATTTCATCAAATTATTAGGATTTACCCATTTCATAATCTCCATGTATTCCAATACCATATTAATGTAAATTTTAACATAAAACTATTAATTAGTCTCAAAATCCCATTTTTACTCAGCATTCAAACCTAGGGTGTTAAAGAAAATTGGGGGTTTTCCTCTTTTCTTAGTTAAATCCTCAAGTCATCAATTATTATTTATCAATATGCTTAAACATTCAACACCCTTTAAAAATTTGAGTGAAAACCCCTTTTGTACTTAAACAACTAGCCATTAATGTTTTCTAACCCATAATCAACTCAAAATCTCAAAATGTCACCAAAATCACTTTGAATCATAAGTATTTAAGGCTAAGAGAACTCCCTACCTCAAACTTAGAAGAGGAAGAAAGAAGAAAAGCTCAAAAGTTAACAGTGATGAAACAACAATTTACTCTGATCAAAACGAAGCCCTCACTAAGCTCTACATTTAATCTCAAAGGAGCAAGGTGAGGAGATGCTGCTAAGTGAGTGGATTTGAAGATCTTTGAGCGAAAAAGTGAGTTTAGAGAGAGAGAAGAGTGATTCACGGTTTAGAGAGGGGAAAGAGAAAATAAAGTAAAGAAAATTATAAGTGAGGACCATATTTATAGTTCTAGGTTAAAGTGAAATAAAATCCCAAAGTCAACCCAAAAGAACAAGTCAAAATCCAAAAGAAGTAGGGCCCAAAACCAAACTAAAATCTAGAAAAAGACTCACAGGGGTCGACCCTTGTGTCGGTGGTGTCGACCCTTCAGGAAGAATTGACAAAAAGATAATGTTGGTAGCAAACAAGGTGTTGACCCTTGGACCAAAACTGTCAATACTAAATTTTAGCAACTAATTCCAGATTTTGCAATAGACAAGGGTCGACCCTTCCCAGATTGGTGTCGACCCTTAAGGTCAACAAGAAAAGGCATGTGTCGACACCACTAAAGGTTGGTGTCGGTCCTAAATTTCAACAGCGATCTAGGAACTGACAGCAAGATGGTGTTGACACCTCCAAAGTTAGTGTCGACCCTTGGAGCAAAACAAAACAAGGAAAAGGAGGCAGTGTCTACGCCAATAAGGATGGTGTTGACCCTTGAAGCCAAAACTGAACATAATGAGAGAGGAAAAAAAAAACGACTGCCACAGATATGGTTTCCCAAATTCAAAAGCAATAAATGAGTCGGGTCTAAGCCCAGATCGCTATAACCAAGAGTTCGACAAACATACAAGTTTTAAGGTGATGGCCACCAATTTACACCAATCCAATACGTATTAGAATCCAAGTCATTACATGATATATCACCTTGTTTGGTTTATACTATTTTTCTAAAAATTGAGTTTTTATTATTTATTTTTTGGTTTTTGTTTTTAGTAATTTTTTTATATATATTTATGCATTTTTTTATTTTTTAGATACACTTAATCTGGATATACTTAAAAAGTATAATATTTATAAAAAAAAATTTAAAAAAATTACCAAGTACAAAAAAATATAAATATTCAGTGCATTTTCATATTTTATTGTATTCAAAAAATATTTTAATATATTTTTGTACAAGTTTATACTTTTTAAGTATATCAAAATTACGTGGATCTAAAAAAATGATTAAAATATTTTTAAAAATACACTAAAAATACAAAAATACTAGTTGAAAACTTAGAAAACTGGTTTTAAAAATTCTAAACCAAACAAAGATTGATTGTAATTTTTTTACGGGATATAATTTTATAAAAATCAATCTTGCACTGGTATCCCATTTTAAGAAATACCTTTTGTAGACATTCTATTGTTGACAGTCCTTAAGACTTGGGCGTCACCGATTGGTCACCCAATGATGAACGCATATGCTTGTCGAATGCTTGAATTCCTCAGCGAGAAACCTCAGCTTCAAGCCTCAGAAACATACAAATCTTGTGCCTTGTTTTTGGACCAAAACAGCAGCTTTTCAAGCCGGATCATCCAGGAGCCTGCCGCCCACTATTAGTGGCCTGACGACCACTAATGAAAAAGCTATATATTTTTGGCCAGCTATCTTCACAAGTGCATGCACTATTCCAGCTGTGTTTGTATGGATATTTCCGGTGGTCTCTCATATATTTCTATATATAGATGACTGTCTCTTACGTTTTAGAGGTTAGAAAAATTTTGTGGAGCAAAAAATTTTGTGCACTCTCGCTCTATATATTTCACTCTCTCCTTTGTAACTTATGCACTCTTGACCTATACTCTCCAAACAAAACCTAGAGGGTTCTTGGATGAGGTGTTTGAGCATGCATCTTAGCCCTTGAGGGTGTTAGATTGGTGGTTTATAACTTCAAAGGGTCATTCCTCTTTAAAGGTATATACCCTAGCTTGCTTGTATCCTTTCTTTTCCATCTTTTTTTTGTTGTTTTTTGCACAGTTTTTCAATTGTTTTTATGAGCTGAAACTTGTGGTTTAAGGCCATTAAAGGTAGAGGGGTTAACTACCCTTCTTTGAACCTTGGTTCCTAGGCCATTACCCTTGTGTTTCCCATCTTTTGTTCAACTTATTTTGAGCTTTTTACCACTGAATTTTAGAGTTTTTCATAAACTAAAAATCATGTTTTGAAGTCCCAAAAATAGAAGGGTTAGCCTCCCCTCCTTATGTTTGTGTGCTAGTTTTAATCTCTCAATATTTTAGCTTGTTGTTTTAACTTTTTTTGTCTTAATTTTAGCACTATTTAGGACTGTTTTAGAACTATTTTTGGTTGATCCTTGCATTTGAGCTTTGTTTAGCATGCTTGTAATGTAATAGTTCTCATAGGTTTAATGTTTTAGGCCTTAGACACCAACCTATTTGAGTTGACAGCATTTATTTTGTGTTTTCTATACTTGTGATCATCTTTAATCACCTCTGCACTTCTCTCATTTTGTGACTCTTGATTGCCTTGAGAGTTGTTTCAAATCGATTATTTGTTTAAGCTTGAAGATAAAGATCGTTGTGCTTAATAGTTTAATCTCTTCGGAGGTTCATTACCAACGACATGACATCTCTCTCATGCCCAAAAATAACCCTTTGTTTGATGCTTTTCTTTATTAGTAGACTTAAAGCTCATTATTGGACTCAATTGACTAATGAATGGAAGGTAATTTAAAAGGGGTAATCAATGGTTTAAAATGAAGCAAGATAACCAAATGGTTTGGGTTCAATCAGACGTTAATTGAACACATCGGGTCTTGAGTCGTTTCATACTTGTTAGTGATGAAAACGGTTCAAGAGTCGATGTCAACCGTTTCCCTTGATT